AGGTGCTGCAGCCCCCTGATCATCTCTGTGGCTCCTCTGGACCCTCTCCAACAGCTCTCTGTGTTTCTTGTCCTGGGGGCTCCAGACCTGGACACAGTGCTGCAGATGGGGCCTCACAAGAGCAGAGCAGAGAGGGACAATCACCTCCCTGTCCCTGCTGGCCACCCCTCTCTTGATGGAGCCCAGGATCCCATTTGCTTTCCAAGCTGTAATCACACACTGCTGGCTCATGTTCAGCTTTTCCTCCATCAGGACCCCCAGGTTCTTCTCTGCAGGGCTGCTCTCAAGGACTGCTCCTCCCAGTCTGTACAAATGCCTGGGATTCCTCCGTCCCAAGTGCCAAACCTCGAACTTTGCCGTGTTGAACCTCATTGGATTCACCCATGCCCACCTTTTGAGCCTGCTCAGGTCCCTCTGAATGCCATCCCTTCCTTCCACATCCAGTGACCCAACCCGAGCAGCGCACCCAGGCAGACCGCAGACCGCGAGGACGGCGTTATTTAGTCTGCTGACATAAATATTATCCCTCAGCCGGAGATAAACCCCCATCTTTGGGCAACGAGCGACGGCTCGCAGCATAAACACGGATAACGCCTAAAGGTAAACTTCCTCTCCGCGGTGCTCCGGGCGGCCGCAGCGTCTCCTCAACCGACCCCAACCCAGCTCTCCCACCCCGCACCGCCGGCTCAGCCCCACGGACGGCACCGCTCCGCTCCGCTTCTCCTCCCGTAAGGTCAGCACGCCCGGAGCCGTTCTCCCGTCCCCGGGGAGGGGCGGCATCGAGGGGGCGGCGACGGCCCGGATCGCCCACGGGAACGCGGAGGGGCAGCGGACGGACGGACGGACGGGGCGGTACCGACGCCGCCCGCACACAGCGGGCCGGGATCGCCGCTCCCCGCTGCCGCGCAGCACCGCCCCGCGGATCCCGCGCCGAGCCCCCCGCTCGCAGCCCGGCCCGGCGGTGCCGCCCCACCCGCAGCCCGCAGTAAGGCCCCACCGGCGCGCACCTGCCGCGGTCCCCCCGGACGGAACGGCACCGCTGAAAACGGACCGCGCCTCCACCGCCCCCCGGAGCCGCACCGCCCGCAGCACCGACCTGCCCAGCCCTGCCCGGCCCGCGCCGCCGCCGCCGCCGTTCAGCCCCGCGCCCGTGCAGCCCCGCCCCTGCGCGGTGCCCGCTGAAGGACGGCCCGGCCGCCAATCAGCGCCGCGGCCGGGGCCGCCCGCGGACCAATCCGCCGTCAGGGAGGCGGGGAGAGGGCGTGGCCCGGCTGGCGGCGACGGGAGCAGCCAATCGGAAGGCTGGACCGGGGCGCGGGGGGCGGGGCGCGGGCTGAAATCCCTTTTGTTCGCGGCGGCGGCGGCGGAGAGAGCGGGCGGCCGTGATTGGCGCGTCATTTCCGGTGCGGGAGGGGGGACGGGGCCGCTCCGGGCGAGGGCGCTGTCCGGGGCCCTCAGTCGAGCCCCGCCCCTTCCCCGCGCCCCCACAGCGCCCCCCCGCGGCGCTCTCGGCGCTGCGCCCGGCCAGAGCCGAACGCGGCTCCGCAGCGCCCCCGCGCGGCCGCCGCCCTGCCCTGCAGCTCCGCCCGAGCGCGGCTTCTCAGCGCTCCGGAGCGCCGCGGCAGTCCCGGCCCGTTCTTGTTTGCACAACGCTTTTTCTTTGCGTATTTGAACTCTTCGTGTTTTAACCGACCTGTTTCTTCGTGGCACCTCCTCCTGTCGCTCCTCCCGTTTCCCACCGCTCACTTCCATCGTGTCGTGTAGTGACGGAGGGTCTGCAGTGTACAAACACGTCCTTTGGTTAATTCTAAAGCACTGCAAACTGATCTGGACCTCCTTTTTTTTCCAGTTCTGGATGGATAGCGATAGTTCACATGGGTTCCCAGAGCCACATCAATGAGCCACAGAGTGCAGCCACTGTCGCTCCCCAGGACTGTCAGGTAACAGCAGGAATGCAGCAGCAGAGCTTATCTCTGCTCATCAATCTGAGCTTATCTCCACGCCCAATTACAGGTTGTGCAATTTTAGACCTTCTACGTGGTGTATATAAGATAAACACTACAGAACACTGGAGAGAAATGCACTAAGATTCTGGTGTTCTTGCATGCAATGTAGCTACATCCCAAATGCCATCCCAGCCTGATTGCATGGCTCTGCATGGCACAGCTTAGCATGGCACAGCACAGCTCATTGTGGTGCAGCTCAATGTGGCACAGCACAGCATGACACAGCACAGCACAGGATGGCACAACAACACAGCACAGCACAGCTCAACATGGCACAGCATAGGGTGGCACAGCACAATATGGCGCAGCCATGGCACAGCACAGTGTGACATAGCATGGCACAGCTTAACGTGGCACAGCACAGCATGACACAGCACAGTGTGCCACAGCACAGCATAGCATAGGGTGGCACAGCATGGCACAGCACGGCACAGCACAGCCCAGTACAGCATGACACAGCATGACACAGCACAGGGTGGCACAGCATGGCACAGCACAGCATGGCACAGCATGGCACAGCACAGTGGCACAGCACAGCACAGCATGGCACAGCTCATTGTGGCATGGCACAGCATAGCCCAGCATGGCACAGCACCGTGTGGCACTACATGGCACAGCGTTGCATGGCACAGTGTGGCACAGCACAACACGGCATAGCATGACCCAGCTCACTGTGGCACAGCACAAAAGAGTATGGCACAGCACAGTGGCACAGCACAGCACAGCATGGCACAGCACAGTGTGGCACAACATGGCACAGCATAGGGTGGCACAGCATGGCACAGCACAGCGTGGCGCAGCTCATTGTGGCACAGCACAGCACAGCATGGCACAGCACAGTGGCACAGCACAGCACAGTGTGGCATAGCATAAAGTGGCACAGCACCGTACAGCATGGCACAGCCCAGCATGGCACAGCAGTGTCTCACAGCACAGCACAGCATGTGGTGGCACAGCATGGCACAACAAAGTGTGGCACAACATGGCACAGCATAGGGTGGCACAGCATGGCACAGCCCAGCATGGCACAGCACAACACGGCATAGCATGACCCAGCTCACTGTGGCACAGCACAAAAGAGTATGGCACAGCACAGTGGCACAGCACAGCACAGCATGGCACAGCACAGTGTGGCACAACATGGCACAGCATAGGGTGGCACAGCATGGCACAGCGTGGCACAGCACAGTGGCACAGCATAGTGTGGCATAGCACAAAGTGGCACAGCACAGTACAGCATGGCACAACATGGCACAGCATAGGGTGGCACAGCATGGCACAGCACAGCCCAGTACAGCACAGCACAGCATGGCACAGCACAGCGTGGCATAGCATAAAGTGGCACAGTGTGGCACAGCATGGCACAACCCAGCATGGCACAATGTGGCACAGCACAGCATGGCACAGCACAGTGGCACAGCACAGCATAGTGTGGCATAGCACAAAGTGGCACAGCACAGTACAGCATGGCACAGCATAGGGTGGCACAGCATGGCACTGCACAGCCCAGTATAGCATGACACAGCATGGCACAGCACAGCGTGGCACAGCACAGTGGCACAGCACAGCATGGCATAGCACAAAGTGGCACAGCACAGTACAGCATGGGGTGGCACAGCATGGCACAGCACGGCACAGCACAGTCCAGTACAGCATGACACAGCATGGCACAGCACAGTGGCACAGCACAGCACAGTGTGGCATGGCACAAAGTGGCACAGCACAAAGTGGCAAAGCCCAGTACAGCATGGCACAGCCCAGCATGGCACAGCAGTGTGGCACAGCACAGCACAGCATGGGGTGGCACAGCACAGCCCAGTACATCACAACACAGCATGGCACAGCCCAGCATGGCACAGTATGGCACAGCACAATGGCACAGCACAGCCCAGCATGGCACGGCACAGCATGGCACAGCGTTGCATGGCACAGTGTGGCACAGCACAACGTGGCACAGCTCAGCATGGCACCATCTCCAGCTGCACCTCTGCTATGCCCGAAGCAGCAGGGAGCGCTGAGCCCTGCACTCCTGCAAGCCAGTTAGGTTTGTTTTATTTCTCCCTCATGGAAACTCATTTATTATTTTACATTACAGTCTGAAGCCTCAGAGCATCTCTTCCTGCATTTAAAATAGGCAAAAAAAGCCCTCGCTCTGTGAGATCCACACATAGGATGGCTCTGCCAGGCTCCCTGCACAGCTCAGAGTTGGTTTGGGAAGGCTTGGCTGAACCCATTACAGCAGCAAAGCTATCTCCATTTAAATAGCAGTTAATAAAAGTTGTCTATACAGGGCTGTGAGCATCCTGACACTTGATTAATCACACTACAGCACAGTATCCCTAGCAGCACTAAAGCTAACACGCAGACACACAGGAGGAAGCAGTGAACAGCAGCTCAGCCACTGCACAGCTCTGCACAGGACTGCCAGCCTGGCTGGGGCAGGGGATGCTTTGCAGGCCAGGAGGTGGATCTGAGCTGAGCCCTGCCAAAGAGGTGCAGCATTCACTTCAGCCAGAGGGATTGAATTTGGATCCCGGATCTGCAGATCCGGAGGTCTGATGGGCAAACCCGGTGTCAGGGGCTGCAGCTGGGGGTCAGCATCTTCGTGATTGGGGTGGGGGTGGGCTCACAGCACTCTGCATTCCGTCCCACTTT